TACTTGGTCCTCTCTCTGCCTTATGTCAGCCAATCACTCTGGCTCACTGCCAAAACATTCTCCAAACTGTCCTCTCTCAAAGATGGCAGAGCTAGCAAAAATGCAAGGACTGGGCTGAATATGTATGTTGTAAATGACAGTTGGGGAGTTTTTCTGTTTGAGAGTTTCTCTGCCTCCTTTTCTAATGACTTTTAAACATTTTGCTTTTTATTGATTCATTTGTTTTAACTCAATAGTTGTATTGCTTACCTACGTGTCCACACAAATGACATGATGTCATTCTGGAAACATTAACTAATCACCCACATGCAGGGCACTGCCCTGAGAGATACAATAATCATTTTGGATTCTGTCCCATGTTGTTAAATTAATGAAAAAAACTTGTGAATAGTTTGAAGTTAGTATATCATTAAAAGTGATGAGAAGACTTAGTGTTAAGAGTGTTTGGGAGAAAAAGCAAGACATTTTCTGGCTAGACCTTAAGAGAGAAAATAAAATAAGACTTTAGCAAATGTAGTATTTGACTAAGGAATTTCATTGGGGATTACAAAACCATTTTACAACTTTTGAGATGGGAAACATAATTTGGTTACTATTAGAGCAATGAGTAGGCTGGATGGGAAAAGTCTACTACTCCAGATAGAGATGTTAGGAGATGTATACCAGTATAGGTATAAAGGATGTATACAAGTATAGATGTTTTTACACCTATACTTTTACACCTATAGGTGTAGAAACACCCATACTTGTCAGAACATTGCTAAAGATAATTAGCTGGAAGAACCAAGAGCTGATAGAGACCACAGGAAGGAAAAGAATCAAAAATGTTTCAGTGTGTAGAGTGGGAGGAAGAGAGACAGTGCCCTAAGTACAGGTGGTAGTTCACAAAAGAGTTTCCAGAGGAAGATAATGAATTGACTGGGACACATTGATCTGGAAAAGCCCAGAGCTGTCAGGGTGTCAGGAATGAGAATCTGCAGCCCAAGAAAAGAGGCAAGGGGTCATGGGAGATTCTCTGACAGGGTCCCGATGGCTCATGTCTATGATAAAAAGAATTCCCTAAACTAGAGACCTTTGGAATTCATTGCATTAGGATTTTTCTGTTAGAGATTTCTCACAATGTGTGAATTACATGGCTGAGTAGCCTGATTGGGGTTTGATTTTTTTTAAGTCAGGCATATTGTGCTAATGTAACATCTTAGACTATTTCTATACCATGACTCAATAATCTTTTATTGACTCATAGAATTTGTACTGATGGACTTATTTCCTCGTATGACCCTCCTCCTTTGGGTCATAGTTCCAAATGTTCCCATCCTATGCTTTTTTATTCTGAGTTTTTTCATACTCAGAAAACAATTTCTGAGATTGTTGAAGGTGACACGTTATTTTAAAATGTGGACAATACATTAAAAAAACAAGAAAAATATGTATAATGTAAATACCAGAAACTAATCACTGTTGTTAGATGTTTTCTTACTACAAGTATGAGAGTACATATACAAATGCACACACATGTGTGTATATGTATGTGCACACATACAGCACCTACATGTATAAAACATGGCCATTATTGTATAAATCACATAAGGGCACACAAATTTAATACTGTGGGTTGTAGATTGCACATTCTATTTTGCATGCAATCTTCAGTTGCAATTATATATGTGTATATTAAATGCCACTAAAAGTTATTGAAACACTTTGTGTTTATGTTCTGCATAATATTTCACTGTACAGAGCTGTCCTAATATCGAAGCATTCTGCCATGAGACAGTTCTGTTAGGTGTGTGCTTTGAAGAATGAAGAGTGATATCTCCCACACCACATTCCTTTGTGAGGCTCTCTTTCTCATCTGGACTTTTTCTTTTTCCCAACACAAATCCTCATGATGGGTATTTTTAAGTGGAATCATGTCATTGCCCACTGTGAAAAGTACAAGAATGGTCAGGATCATTAAGGCAATGGAGAATGAGTGTGTTTAACCCCCTTCCCCCAATCAATTGTTCCTTATATCTCTCATTGTAATCATTTTAAAAGATTTTCACCTGCTTCACCACTTTCCACATTCTCTCTCTCTCTCTCTCTCTCTCTCTCTCACACACACACACACACACACACACACACACAAACACCCCTAAACTGATACCCAAACATGAAGAAATTTTCTACGTGGTGGTGTGCACTTTGCCAAGAAAGAGCAATTCATCTTAGGAAATTAAGTTTAAGCGATATTGCCTTCCATTTTGTAACAGTGAAGCCAGAGGCTAGGGCTGTGACATGAGCTCCAGAAGCAAGCAGACCCTGTGCACACGAATATGCAGTAGTAGGACTGGACAGAGCACCATTGTGTTGATATCTTTCTGTTTTTACAGGTGCCACAGAGTCATTTTATGAGTCTTCACAGTGACCCAGGCCATAGAAAGACAAATATAGCTATAGTTTTGCTGAGTCCAGGTTTAAAGTGTCTCGTTCAAACAAAAACATAATTTCTAAATCAGTCCAAAGCAAAGCCCAACCTCTTGAATTCTATGCACTCCCCCATCAATTCCCTTTCTTTGCTCCAACTTGTTTCCTTAAGTGTTACCTTCTCCATTTTAAATATCATCAGCTGATAAATCAGTTGACAGAGATCTGCAACAGTTCATTCTAATACTGAAGATGAAAAATTATAGCCATAATTTTTTTCAGAAGAGCAAGCAATGGTATGCATTTCTGCATTGAGAAATAGATAGAGGCATGAATGAAGATACTAGGGGCAGGTAACATAAGACTTCAAAGTCAATTTGATTTATTTCCTAATGGACTGCTATTAGACAACCGTACATATCCAAAGTTATTAAAAGAAATTCGGGCTCTTGGCACTTTTTAAAATATAGGCTTTTTGGAGAGAAAATTACCTTAATTACTAGATGGATGAATTGCTAGGAAGAAATCCCAAAATTCAGGATTAGGTTTTCTTCAGTTTCTCACTTACCAGAAGGTAGAAAAAAATAGGACATTTAACTTCCAAAAGAAGGACAAAAATGTAATGGAATATTCATGGGCTTTTGAACATACCCAAAGGTAGATGCAGTTTCATAACCATCGTTAAGCAATGGTAGGACACATACACCAGTATGCAAGTACACACTTATACACATGTGCTATGAAAATTGTTATCATACAAATAATACAAATTGCATAGAAAGCACAATTTATAAAATAAACCAGTTAGTATTCCAATAATTCCCTTTGCTTGGATATCTGTCTCCATTACTTTGTTTTCCATTTTCTATGAAATAAATCTAGTTTCTCTCATGTTCTGCTTACATTTTGGTAATTTCTTAGAAACCTGAGCAGGCTTCTCTATCCCTCTCTCTTTCCTTTTTATCTTTAATGATTTTTACCCAGTATTATTTCATTATCTTTCTGATTTTCAGTATTCCCAACCTACTATCTCTACCCAAATACTTAGGTGTGCTCATAATATAAAAAGAATATACTATATCATCCTATATCAGAAGATAGGGTGAAAATGAAACTTCTAGCTGATTTAAATATAAGTATATACATACTGAATATATAGATATAACTATATGGGTGTATGAATATATACCAATATATATAACTATATTTATAGTTATATATAGGTATATGAATATATAACTAAATATTGATCCATCAATCCTATGATTATAAATAGAATGTCTGGGCTCCTGTGTTCAAAGGAGAGGCATCCTGTCATTTGTCAGTTGCAAAATGAGCGTGTTCTGTTTATGTCCCACTATGCCACTTCTGTCTAAGCTCTCTTCATCTTCTACCTTTGAGGAAGGCTCTGCTATACTCACCCTCTTACCCAAATCCCATGAGTCAAAAGTCCTCCACAAGTCAGGAGATCAGGCCTGAGCAAGAACACCATCTTACCAATTAGTGGCTTTGGTTGAAATTAGTGAAATGTGGCTTATTTGAGTCCTAAAGACCTCCAGGGTCTTCCCCACAACTTATGTCATTTGGAGTGCATCCTTCAGCTACAAGCACAGTCATTAGATACCATCAACCACCACAATAATCACAACTGCCTCCATAAAGCAGTTAACATTGCATCACTTTTTTTGCCAATCCTGGGGCTTGAACTCGGCCTGGGCACTGTCCCTGAGCTCCTTTTGCTCAAAGTTGGAGCTCTACTACTTGAGCCACAGCACCATTTCCCACTTTTTCTGTGATTACTTGGAGATAAGAATCTCACAGGGTTTCCTGCCCAGGATGGCTTCAAACCATGACTCTCAGATCTCAGCCTCCTGAGTAGCTAGGATTACAGGTATGAGCCACCAGTGCCCAGCCAACATTTTATAAACCAAAAAGCCCTTTCATATTTATAAAACATTTTCCTAACTTTATTTTAGTAGAGATTTTGCTTTTGGTTATAGTCGCTTACTACATTTGGTTGTTCCTTTCTCCCTGTACCAAACATTTAAGTAGATCATTTCCAGGCATTAGTAAAATCTTGAGAAGACTGACAAAAGAAGAAACTTATTTGCTAATGCATGCGACCTAATATCATCAGTGCAAGGGATACCCTCCTGCTTCAATAGTTTTCTCTTTTATCAGAAATGAGACAGTCACTGTAATCCCTTGGTAAGCATCTGGAAATAACATTAATAATGATGATAATAATAATGACCTCATAGAATGTATAATTTGAGGGATTAAAGAACATTTACGAGCTTATTGTGTCATAGTTAATTATGATGTGCCAAGTTTTCTTGCCACCTCCTTTTACACTGGTATTTCCTGCTTAGATCAGAGAATTAATTATAGTAAATGGTGTTGTTGCAAAGAACTAGCCCCATCATGAAGCATATGCCAGCATAAAGATTACGAACTGCTTTAGTGTTGCTTTTTAAAGATGATTTATTAATGTTTTGCATTGTATAAGATTCTTTATGATGTAATCATTTAGTGTTTATTTTATTGTGTGTACCTTCTACTCAGAGGGTTGGCATTATTGTTCCTAACAGTGACGGATACAAGCAGATCATGCCTTATGACCTCTACCATCCCCTTCCTCGGTACGTAAATCAATCATCCTGATGTTAGAATTAGCAAATCACTCTTCTGATATTTTTGTAAATATATATTCATATAAACATATATAGATAGATTGTGATTTTCTTTAAAAGTAAGATGGTAGATGGTAGATTTTTACATTCCTCTTAAGCTCTGCTTTTGAATATATAGGCCTGCTCAGGCTGTAAGCTTGTCATTCAAAAGCCATTTTAAGATAGTATCATATTACAGTGGAGTGGACACAGTAATTCACTCCAATTAGACATAGTATGTGGGTTTATGTTATGTCTTTCTCTGACTCTCTTTGTCCTCTTCTATGTTTCCTCTGCGATAGGACCCTAGTCATTAAAGCACTGTTGCTAACTGTTAAGCAAACACAGAACCTGAAGTATTATCAAACACTATGAATGTGGAATTCCAGATGTGGTATGAGGCATAGAGTTTTAAATGTCTTCTTGTCATTTTGAAGAAATTCTGATTAAGAATCAAAGGTAGTTTTTTTATATCCTTATTATTCAGAATACTTTAGAGGACATTTTTCAAAACATAAAATTCAATATTGTTGAACACAGCATAGTGTGTTGTGTTATCTTTTGTTGTGTTCTATTGCCACTTTTTAAAATGTCGAATAGTGTTTTAAAATTGGAAAATATTTTTGGTATTAGAAAGAACTCGTTTTTTTAGAGAATGTATTATCTATACAATACATTCATAAGAAAACTGGAGTTGCTGAAAAAATACACTTATTAAATGCATCATCTCACACATTGGAAACTGTTTTTGCTCAATTTTCTTTGCTGATTTGCCCCTCAGGGAATCAGCTACAATTTAGAATCAAATATTTTGATTTAGACTATAAATAGAATAAGTAGTTTTCTCAGTCCCAAATAAAACCAAGCCAGAAAGTAATTGTATTCTAAACAGTTAAATATAGAATATTTGGTTGAAAGTCTCCAAATCCCTAATGGATTAATATGTATTAGATGTTAGATGATCTCAAGGCTATCTAGTCCAATTCCCCAATGATTCCACTTCTCCTGTTCCTTTGTCAGCAGTCATACCCATATACCATAAATATGCAAACACACATATCTACACAAATTAGAATTGATATGTGCTTAATGCTTGTGTATTTACACACACACATTTACACAAACATCTACATGGAAGTCATCATTCAGTATCTTCTTAGATGCAGGCATGGCACTCACTTTTTAACATGTTAATGCTAGCATGTAAGAAGGGACATTTGATTTTTCCTAGATACAAGTGTTGTTGCTAAATACTTTCCCTAAATGGCTATCTTTTCATAGCCACTTTCTGATGATTATATTGATAAAGACAACAAAAGACTGTCATTTTGCTAGTTTGATCCAAAAGTCATCTCATCCTTGGTAATTTAATGAAACTACCAAAAGATCAATTTATGTAAATAAAAATTCTCTTTAATTTCAGTTTTTATCGGGACAATAACTATTCATAGAATATGTATCTGTTTGAAGGAAGGATATATATTAAAAGCAAAAGCAAAGAATGAGCAACATCACATTTTTTTTGTAATGATAGCTCCTAGATTTCTGTAATATGGTTTCTGATCTCTCTTGTTCATATTTCTCTGGCATAGCCAATGCCTGTCTTAGGTTAGACTTGATCTCTTATTTAAAAAAAAAGATTTCCCACAAATGCCTAAAACCCAATGGCATATTGAAATGATCACCCCTCATATTTGCACCATGCCCTGTGTTGTACTTGGTATACCCATGCCACACAAGATGAAGGACAGTTAACAAATGAACAGACTATATTCCATACCTTTTAAACTTGTATTACTGAGCTAATTCTGAAGATAGAAATTCCACTCTATTGACAAAAATCACTGCAAATAGGACCTATTTCTATAGATGTGTTTTCATTTCATCTAAATAAAGCTCAGAAATTATTCTGAAATGGCGATCACCCACTAATCAAGGTAGAAAGCTTTACTTAAGATATTTATATAAGATTAAGACCAGAGGTATAGCTACTGATGAATTATTAGGTTGTTCTTACCACTTTCAGTCTTTGAACTAAAACATATTGAATATGACATAAGAATGTAGTCTAATGAATCATTCTTAATTAATTTATGCTACTTTTCTATATTTGTTAATTTTGAGAATTTCTTAACTAAATACATTCTGTATTTTTAAAAGAAATTAAAGTATATAACACATAAAACCATGTAATGTTCTTTCAGAACAAGTTTCCAGGAAGGACTTTGGATATATCTTCTTTTATTCCAAGAACTCATCCTGGCCACTGTATTAAGATTTCTTGTCTAATGCCCTCTGTTGTACTTTAAAGCACCCAATTATGCTTTTCTTTAAATATATTATTCAAGGATTCACATATAATATTCATTCCACATATAGAACTACAGTTGTATTATGCTGGAACTATATTACACATTCCTAGCCTTGTTTGTCTTTCTGTGATCAATGACATTGAAAAGGATACTTATTTATGTTTGTGAAATTGCACTACAGTCAAATTCAAATGTTGAGACAGAAATTAATGACTCACACTTTAGAGTCAAGTTTAGAGATTTCAGAAAACCTATTTTAAAATGTGCTCTTTTATAGTATCTTGATATTTTAGATTAAATGTACACTAAAAATATGTTATTAAGCCAGGTGCCAGAGGCTCATGTCTGTAATCCTAGCTACACAGAAGGCTGACATCTGAGGACTGTAGTTCAAAGCCAGCCTGGGCAGGAAAGTCTGTGATACTTATTTCCAGTTAATCACAAAAAAGCCAGAAGTAAAGCTATGGTTCAATTGATAGAGCTCAAGCCTTGAGCACAAAAGTTCAAGGACAGAGCTCATACTGAATTCAAGCCCCAGGACCAGCCAGAAAAAAAAATATATATAGTTATCACTGGCTAACTATATATATATAGATAGAGAGAGAGAGAGAGAGAGTTAGTTAGTTAGTTAGATAGTTAGATAGTTAGCCAGTGCTGGTGGCTCCATATATAACTATATATATATAACTATATATATATATATATAACTATATATATAACTATATATATATAACTATATATATAACTATATATATAACTATATTGCTGGTGGCTCACACCTGTAATCCTAGCTACTCAGAAGGCTGAGATGTGAGGATTTGGGGTTAAAGCCAACCAAGGCAGAAAAATTCATGAGAATCTTATCTCCAATTAACCACCAAAAAGCCAGAAGTGGAACTGTGGCTCAAATGGCCAAGTACAGAATAATATGTCTCCATGAGGTGTTTTTGCAGTATGTTTAATTTAGGTACTCAAGTGGATCAACTCTGTGATGTTTCATTTCTCTCTAGTTAAAATGATATCTCTCATAATTAATTCAAAAGGAGGTCTTAAAGTTTCTTATTAATTCTCAACAAGCAGAATAGAATAGACATAAGAAAGACAAGTTTGGCTTGATCAATCTCAATGCTTCTAATTTTAGAGATTTCAATAATCTACATCCACATGAGGACAGGAAAGAAGCAGGCAAAGATATCTCTATGGGTTTGGACCCAAATGTTTCAGAACTGTGTAAAGGCTTTGAAACATTGACAGAATTCTTTTCAATGTTATTGGCAATATTGTTATTTCCTACCCCCTACACAACTATATTCTGACATCACAAACCTTTTCAGCGAAAACCAAACCTCTTCACAATTTCAGGAGTTCTTTATTGGAGGAACTCTTTCAGTATCCTTCATCAGAGAATTAAGGATGATATTAACCTTTTTCTCCTCAACCCAGTGATGTCACAGTTCAAGAATCAGAATTATGTGCAGTCTATGAATCCCAAAGCTGACAATGGCAGAAGCAAGGGAGGAAAAGCTATTGCCTACATTATTCTTGTATGAGCTTCTCCTATAAAAGTAAACCCAAAGTACGAAAGTCATCTGTTAAAAATTAAGTTGCCAGAATTCAAGCTATTAGTATTAATTATTCAACTTTAGTATTGATATTGATTCTTAATGGTATTTAAGTCATTAAACTTTAATATGTATCTTGAAACAATGGGGAGATCAGGACCATGAACTGAACTTGCTTCTTATGAACAGGTTACAGACAGTATAGATATCCTTGTGGACAGCTTCTCAAACTGCAGTCTCTTACATTTGTGTATCGTTTCACAGTTTACAAGGCCTTGTAGCCAATGTTGGATCCTTTTCTCTTCCTCAGATTTCAGACAACAGATGGCATTTGGTTCTCTGGACCATAGCCTCTGAGAACTCCATGCCCCCAGTACACCCAGGGAACGGGGTTGTGTGACAGCTCACTGAGGAGGTGTGGTGATGTGCATGTCTGCCCTGATGACTCCCCTTGCTTCTGTAGGTGGGAGGCCACCCCATGGACCGCGTGCTCCTCCTCCTGTGGGGGGGGCATCCAGAGCCGGGCAGTTTCCTGTGTGGAGGAGGACATCCAGGGGCATGTCACGTCAGTGGAAGAGTGGAAATGCATGTACACCCCTAAGATGCCCATCGTGCAGCCCTGCAACATTTTTGACTGCCCTAAATGGCTGGCACAGGAGTGGTCTCCGGTAACTGTGCCCTCTTTCTTTGTTCATTAGGAGAGTAAGTCCACTCTTCCCTCTCTCCATCATGGCCCCACCGCATACCCTGTGTGGCTCCATGTTTCTCCTCTTAGGGTTATTAGAAGCCTACCAGCTTAGCTTTTGGAGATGGAATGCCTCCAATCCAGTGTGACAAAAACTAAATGCCTTTCTTCAAGTTACTTTTACAAAAAAACCCTTAGTGTTCCCCTCTATGGGCAAAGCAAATGCTTTTTAAGAGTAATTGAAGCTAAGCCTGGCACTATTGACTAATGCCATGTAATCCTAGCTACTCAGGAGGCTGACATCTGAGGATCATGGTTTGAAGCCAACTAGGCAGAAACATCCATGAGATTTATCTCCAATTAACCCTCAAAAGAGCCAGAATTGGAGGGATGGCTCAAGTGGTAAGGCACTGATCTTGAGTGAAAAGCCAAGCAAGAGCTAATGCTTTGAGCCCTGAGTTCAAGTCCCAGGATGGGCACAGAAGGAAAAAAAGTAGAACTGAAGTTAATCATCCTGAATCGGTAAAAGTTAACTGCTTTGATAATTGAGCTCAGTAGACCACAATTTGACTTTTTTAAAATTTATTATGCTCTGTCTATATTTATAAAAAGTGTGGTTAGATTAAAATTGAACCTATGTGTATGACTCCTTGGGAAGAAAAAAGGACTACATGAAAACATCCCAACAATTAAAAGGAGGATCAAGTAGAATAATGTAAACTAAAAATTATAGACTTTAGGAAACCTACAATAATCCAGCTTTAAATGTCATTCTGGGTTTTCTGATTGTTAATACATAAAAGGAAATGGTAAAGAACATAGAAAGTTGAAGAAGTAAACCATTGTGTCCTTACCCACAGAAAAGATGGAAGGTTTTCCACTGAGTCTTGTGGCTTTGTAGCAGACAAGAGCTATGATGTTTTCGTGAGTCTAGAAGTCCTACAGAAAGGTGCTGATGACTATTAGGGGTACTAGGTCTACCTCTGCCCATTAAACTCATTCATGTGAACATTATTTTCCCATTTTAGTACAGCCAATTGAATTGGCCTTGCTGCAAGATAAATTGATTATAACAGCAGTTTAAAATATCTTAATATTAGGCACCAAGCATGGCTTGGTGGCAAAGTGCCTACATAGTAACTACAAGGCGCTAAGTTCAAAACCCACCAAAAGGATACATCAGCATTTAAAAATCTCTTAGTATTCATGTGGGGATATTTTTGGACATTGGGGTCATTAGCAATGTAATAGAAACAGTGTAGGTAATTGAACTTGCACATTCTACAAATCTTTTCGGCATTTGATTTAGACTTTGCATGCAAAGGGTACTTCAGGGTAGCAGACTGATTCATACAAACCTCAGTTGAAAGTGGTTTATTTTCAGCCACCTTCACCTCCAACAGTCAAACAGAACTTAGATCCCATGTCTTGTAAGATGTGATATAAATCTTCTCAGAGTCCTTGTGCCCAAAAATGCCCTTATTTTAAAACCCTGGAGCAATAAGGGAAGACAAGGAAGCAAGGCTTTGTCTATGAGTCTCCTCTCTCTTGTCCTCTCTTCCCAGTGCACAGTGACATGTGGACAGGGCCTCAGGTACCGTGTGGTCCTCTGCATTGACCATCGAGGATTGCACACGGGAGGCTGCAGTGCAAAGACAAAGCCCCACATCAAAGAGGAATGCATCATACCTACCCCCTGCTACAAGCCTAAAGGTAATAAACTAGACAGGTGCTCTTTTCCTGTCTGTTTATTATTATGTGTATTTGGATGCAGTTTTAGATCCTTTGGGATATTTTTTAAGTATCCAAGTATTCTTAGTCATGGCTCTTCATAAGTTAAATTCTACTAAGAACATTTTCAGACATTCCAAATATGATTGCAAATTTTTATTAAGCATTGTGTATAGGAATCTGTGTATAAAATTATCTCTCAATGAGAATAAAGTACCAGTAGCTCATACCTGTAATCCTAACTACTTAGGAGGCTGAGATCTGAGGACTGTGGTTCAAAGCTTTGCCAGATAGGAAAGGCCATGAGACTCTTCTCTCCAGTTAACCACCAAAAAGAGCTGGAAGTGGAGCTGTAGTGCAAGTGCTAGAGTGACAGTATTGACCCAAAAGCTCGGGGACAGGGCCCAGGCCCCGGTTCAAACCCCAGAAATGGCACAAAAACAAAAAAAGTTATCTCCCCAGTCATGAAGTTGCTTGAAGACTATGATGGAAAATATCATACATGTCTTCTTAAAAGGGAATAGATTTTCAATGCTCAATAGGCAATGTACTCATTACCTTGCTCATATAACTGTAACCCCTCTGTACAGCATTTTAGAATAAAAAGTACCAAAAATAGATATGTAATTTACTATATTCTCTCTGTTAAAAACAAAGGCATTTGCTGGGCATTGGTGGCTCATGCCTGAAATCTGAGGATCATGGCTTGAAGACAGCTAGAGAAGACAAATCTAGGAGACTTTTTTTTTTTTTTGGTCCGGTCGTGGGGCCTGACCTCTGGGCCTGAGCACTGTCCCTCAGCTCTTCAGCTCAAGGCTAGTGCCCTACCACTTGAGCCACAGCGCCACCTCCGGCTTTTTCTTTTTGCTTATGTGGTGCTGAGGAATCGAACCCAGGACCTCAGGCATGCAAGGCAAGCGCTTTACCACTGAGCCAACTTCCCAGCCCCTCTAGGAGACTCTTATCTCCAACTAACCAGCAAATATCCAGGTATAGCTCAAGTGGTAGGGTGGTAGCCTTAAGCTAAAAAGCTAAAAGAGAGTGTCCTGTTTCTGATTTTAAGCCACATTACCTACCTGCCTACACACAGACATACACACACACACACACACACACACACACACACCAACAAAAGGGAATGCATACAAGCATCACAAGTGTCTACTTTGCTAAGCTTGACATATACTATAGAGTCTCATAGTTCAAGCTGATGAAAGAGAAAACATTAAAACATTAATGTGAAAATGAATTCCAGAGCATAAAAATGTACAAATATCTGAATTTAGTAGATACATAAAATAATTTGTACTAAAAAAGAAATATTAGAAAATTTCTACTTAGTGAGCAAGATGTATTAACATTATACCCTATTTCCCAGATTAGTATAATAATCATTTCTGTGCCACAATTTTTTTGCCAGTTCTGGGACTTGAACTCAGGGCCTGGGCACTGTCCCTGAGCTTCTTTTGCTCAAGGCTAGCATTCTACCACTTGAGCCACAGTGCCACTTCTGGCTTTTTCTGTGTATATGATACTAAGGAATGGAACCCAGGGCTTCATGCATGCTAGGCAAACACTCTACCACTAAGCACATTCCCATACCAGTGCCACTATTTTTAATAGTCTGAGTGGATAGAATAGGAAAATCTGTCCACAAACCATCCAGATATAAGGTATTCTTTATCATATGACTCCTTTAAATTTAATGTTAACTAAATTCTAATATTAACTAAAATTTATTTCTTTAAACCATTAAATTTCTCTAAAAAATCAGCCACAATCTAACTCTTCATTATGCTTTCTGTGTGAAACTTTATGAATCTAAAATCAAAAAATCCATACTAGAAATCCCAATTACTTTTTTTTAATTTTTATTTTTTATTGTGAAAATACTGTACAAAGGGGTTACAATTACATGGGCAAGATAATGAGTACATTTCTTATCAAGCATTGTAGCTTCCTCCTTTGTTTCCCCTTCCCATCCCTTCCCATCCCCCCCCCCCCGCCACCGAATCCTCCTCTCCCCCCCCCACCAAAGTTGTAAAATTCGTTTTTTGACATAATGACTTTTACATCTCATTGTTGCAATGGGTCAACCTGTAACCCTATTTAAACAATTTGTTTTTTTCCTTCCCCTCCACAAATTATACCAACATCAAATACAGTGAAAGCAGGGGTTATACCGTGGGGGAGGGACATACATTTGTTAGGAAATGGAAAGACTTGGAAAAAATTATATTAAGTGAAGTAAGCCAGACCAAAGACACATAGGTCCCATGGTTTCCCTTATTTGCAATAACTAGTATATGTCTGAGCCAAGCAGAAAAGAAATAAGTTGATATTAGGGAAATGAACCTTAAGATCTGTATTCAAATGTTTTTTTCTTTCATGCAATTGTTTCCAACATATTTATAAGATTGTTTCTTTGTTGCTTTGTATGTCCCAATTACTTTTAATAAGTACATTTCTCTCTCCTCTTCCATTTTCTCATCTGTACACTGTAGAAAATAATCATATCTGCCCCACAGGTCATGGGAAGGTTAAATGAGATATAATGCAAGTATGACAGCCTGATGTATGGCATATATATATATATATATATATATATACATACATACACATATGTTTATTAAGTTCTCTCCAAATGTCCCCTGTCACTGTGGCCTGTCATTAACGTTCTCAAATATTAGACAAAGTAGCCACAAGAACATCTCACAGGATTCACTTCACATCAGCTATGAAGCATTGCATGTCTCCCATTTGTGTCCAATGGAAGACATGTTACTGAGACACAGAGAGCTCATGTATGCTGTCAGAGGAAGCTTCTTTGATGAGGTCAATTAACTGGGGTGAATAGGGGTGTTGCAAAATGATGGATGCACAAGGTATGGTGCTGCCGTGGTTCAAATGTCAGCAAATCCATTTGCCTTTTGGCAGTTTTATGTTTCTCATTTTATTTTCTGAATAGAAACAATGGCTGCAATATAGCAGACAAGTAGGACACTCCTACCTAAAAATAGTCCACTATTTATTAGCTCTATCTTTACTAAGCCACTTCAGAGAACAAAAAGCAGCTGTGATTAACTATCAAAAATAAAATCTGAATTTTTCACAACTCATTAGTGAGCCTGCCTTTCTAAACATTATTAAAATACCATATAATTCTATGGTATATACGTGTGTGGACATATTTCTTTCATTTTTGCAATCATATGTTATAAAATGGTGATAGAGATTCACTGGCTCATACTCTAAAGGCAAATGTGCCCATAAATGACCTTAATAAATATGTCAGAAATGGAAACATTGGCAGTTACTTCTATAAGAGCATTATAACCTCTCTATTTCTTTTTCTCCTCTACATTTTTACTCAGGAAGTAGTTAGGAAACTTGTTCTGACCTGTTCGGTCAAAGTTGAATGAATAGATGTAACAACTCAAATTATGGATTAATTGCACATTATAATTGTCCGTAAGACTTGGGTGCTATTGAATAGATTAGAAATTCACAGTGACATTTTGCGAATTTCAGAGCATTGGTTTATATTTGAAAATATGGCATAGATTATACTTAGACAAAAGGAACAAAATTATAAAAGAATTACAATATAATTTATTGCACTTTGTGTTTATTTTAAAAGATGTGAAAGATGCTTTGATGATCTTTATATGCATTTGGAGCTCAGGCTTCTACAGTTACAACTTTTTCTAATAAAAAAGACCCTTCCTTGTGCTATTCAATAAAAGGGAAGTGTATGCACAATATTAATTAAGAGGCAACCTTTATAAAATCTGATTCTGTTTTTTCCTGATATGCCCATCATTAAAACCCACCATTTGTCTAAACACTATTATTTGCAGTTGCCAATATAGTAACTTCTAGCTATCAGGCCAAACTAAGAACTGGTGAGGAGGAAGAGATGTTTCCCTCAAATCTCAAATTAGTTCTAACCTCTTCTTTTTATGTGCATGCAACTTCATTCTCAGAGAAACTTCCTGTTGAGGCCAAGCTGCCATGGTACAAGCAAGCTCAAGAGCTAGAAGAAGGAGCAGCTGTGTCGGAAGAGCCCTCGTAAGTTCTGAAAGCACATCTGGTTCTTCTTTTGAACGTGGTTGGTTCCACAGCTCTGGCTTTCATGGGTTCTGAACTTCATGTAACCATCTTCCCCAAGGGAACTGAACCCTCTTGGCTCTCCAATTAGAAGTGTATCCATTTCAAAATGTTGGTGAAAACTTTGATTGCACTTAAATGTGATTTCAAATTTTCTCAGATTATGCTGTTTGAATCAACTTTGTCTGTAGGGAAAAATAGATGGAGTGCTAGTCCTCTTCTCCAAATTCTCATCTCCTGTTTTCTCTTGGCAAAGGGCCAATGGTGAAAAAACCCAGGCTATCTCTGATGATATGAAATAGATTTGATGTGAACATCTGGGCTGCTTTTCATATTCCTTATCTTCCAGTGCTGAAGTATAGCTACTCATTAAGTTAAGGGCAAGCAGAAGAGATATAGGGGAAAGAAGAGTTTAGTAGCTGTATTTTCCCTTTCTTGCTACAATCAGTACCAGAGGGAGACCCAGAACTTTGATTACCTGCTTTTGGTAATCTGCCTCTACCACTGAGTTTCTTCAAAGCCATGAAATCTATAGGGCCATTAGATGATTTGCTACATGCCTCAGAAGAGGAATCAAGGGAGAGAGAGAAAAGTACTGTAATTGATTGATGACTGGTACATCCTGATTCTACTAGAAAATACTGATAGCGATATTGCCACATTATTTTTATAGATAAGAGAATGCATTTTACTGACAAATTTCATCTAGCCAAAGCAAATTCTCCTGTTAAAGATTTTTAAAAACTGGGCACTGTTAGCTCATGCCTGCAATCCTAGCTACTCAAGAGTCTGAGATCTGAGGATCGCAGTTAGAAGCCAGTCGAGGCAGGAAAGTCTTGAGACTCTTATCTCCAATTAACCATCAGAAAAACAGAAGTGGAGCTGTGGGTCAAGTTGTAGAGTGTGAGTCATGAACACAAAGGAGTCCAGGGACAGCACCCAGTCTCAGAGTTGGAACCTCAGAACTGGCCAAAAAAAGGTTGTTAGAGTAAGTATCAGACTCTCTGTTAGCTACGGGTACATAAATATCATATCATCCACACTCTTGGAGTTCATTGTATAGGGTATAAGATAGGAAATTTAAGCTACAGATTCAATCTTACTAGAGATATAAACAAACACCGTCACTGATGTGTTCAAATGCAACTTAGAATTTTCTTAGATTCGTTCTGGTTCAGTCTAAATCTGATATGGTTTTCCTGAACACAGATTGCACTTCTGAATCTCACTCAAAATAATAACTGTTTCAACAAAAAAATCCAGAAGTTAAAAAACTCAAATGTGCAATCACCAAAGGCCATTTATAGATAAACTGTTTCCATAGAAAAAATGATGCAGATATTAAGTGACACCATTTTTACTTAAAAGGACAACTAAATATAACACAGACTGTTTTCTATACTGTGAAATGTCTACAACAGCATTTTCAATGTTGAGAAAAAGCAACTAACCTGGCAGACCTTTGGAGGAAAGATAGTTATTAAAAACCACAATGCACCCTTTAAATGAGCATATGAGGCTTAAAATGCTTTCCTCTTCCTCCTGCCAGGAGTTGGTTTGACAGGAGGAAGTAAGCAGTTCATTTTAGGGGATATTAGGCAAATTAATCCACAGAGGTTTTACTTAAGCCTTGAAAAATGCCAAGTAATTACAGCTGGTTATTTTTTATATAATATTCTCTAGTGAAACCCTAATATGCATTTTTACTTAATCTATATATTATTTTGCTTAAACTATCTTTTGTCCTTGTACAGTGTCCTTTGCCATTGGATCTAAAGCCTACCCTATGTGTACTATTGCATTCTTTCTAGTGTTAAATAAGAACAGAGTTGAAAATAAACCAAATCATCTTGCATTTCTAACTAACAACCTTCCCATTAGATACCTCTTCAATGAAAGCTGTAAGTAGAGTTTAATGAGTCCATTGAAGCACCCCATAAAACATCATCATTCACACCCTCGAATGTGTTTCCCAGCATCAGTCTAAGAGCTTCATGCTTAACCTTAATAAAATCCCCAGGAAGTGGTGCTGTGGCTCAAGTGGTAGAGTACTAGCCTTGAGCTGAAGAGTTGAGGGACAGCATCCAGGCCCAGAGTTCAGGCCCCACGACCAACCAAAACTTAAAATAAAATCCCCAAAGTAACTAAACACAAGTTCTGCCATTGAAACAATAGCCACATTTTAGACTATTAAAATTTACTCTTAGTGTAACAGAATTGCCATCTTGGCATGATTAATCTGAGCTGAAGTAAATTGTAATTGCAATACTAGTTCAGTGTAAAGGAAATGTATACAATTGTGCTCGGAACAACAATTACTTTTCTACCAAAAAGAAATAAATGACAGCTGCAGAGTCATGTAATGAAAGATATGTGGTTTCCACATTTTAATACGTTTTATACATGGTTATTGCACTGGGCCCCAGAAAAGACCCTAAGTGTCACATTCTTAATTGATTTTGAATTTTAAAAAACATAACTTTGCATGGCCTTAATTCTTTCCTTTTAAACCACATTAGACCCGTTTCCAAATGTATGTAGCAACCTATAATTACTCTCCAAAGTATAATGAAAAAATGATATACTGTCAGCACGTCCACCCACCAAACAGACTCACGTTGCTTAAATTAAATGGTAATGTTTAGAAGCTGTGGTTGTCACAGTGAAGCAGAAACAGTGGCCCAGAACTATTATCTCTTGTGCTGACTCCAGCTAACATTGTTCTACAGCAAGGCAGCAAATATCCTGTATTTCCCCATATGGAAAATGAAAATATTATCAACAGCCTGTCTCATTAAATAATAAGAGAACAATCACTATGTTTAAGGCCTTAACATATGGAGATGCCCTTATTGAGTGTTAGAGTAACCCCAACAAATATGAAAAAAATTGGTGAGCACTCTGACAAAAAATTTGTTGGAAAGAAACCTCTCTGTGACATGTTTAGAAGAAAACTGTGATAAAAGACTAAAAATTGGATTGCCAAGAAATAACTAACATTTTATAAAACACAAGAATGAAGTGACATTGCAATTCCACTAAACACCAAGTAGAATATGCAAACACTGCTAGCAGCCTGTAGAATCACCGAGATCACTATACAGAGTGGATCTGATCATGCAATATACTTATAGATTTGGCATGTAAAGCTGCAGCTTCAGTTCAGAAATACTTAAAGATCTCATGGTTTTGTTCCTCAGCAACAGATGGTCTGTTTGTGATGTGTCTGATGCATGTGGTAAAAAGGTAGGGATATGGGGTGAATGTAAAAAGGGATGTTGGGATGAATGTATTACCTTGGTATGCAGAAATGAATTCCTAACCCCCGTGTGGGAGGCAGACCCTCTGAGCTGATTTTCCCCTGGTGACTACAGTTTGTCTTTACTCAAACACATGTTTTTATTGGGGTTTTCTGACAAGCAGCAGAAGGATCTTTAAGCAAGATATTTTCTAGCGCTCCCTTTGTGCAGGACAATGCACAAACTAAGATCCAAACCCCAAACTAAGACTAAGCAGATGGAAGCTCATCAGGCACAGCCTTGTAAATAAATCCAGCATAGTAAACTTGCTTCAGAGGTTGTCTCTGAGAAATTAGTAGGAATCCTTGCTACCAATTAGACACAGACTTCTGTAATTAAGATTCTGGGAAACTGCATTTTTCTGACAGCTTTTAGCACTAGAAAGGGGAAATGGAAAAAAATGCTCATGGAATTATCTTCTGTTATAATCCAAACTATGGTGTTTGTTTGTTGTTGTGTTTTAATTGGCCTCCAGATAATGAGAATGTTGACTTGATCAGTTGTGTACCATGTTGGAAAATATATGGGAATAGCTTTTAAACTCTTAAAAATTCAAAACTATGCTGTCATAGTCTAATTACATATGTTAATTAGGCATTAGCTTAACAAATGACTGATGATTAGTTTTCCATCTCTTGTGTTAATACCTTTCTTTGAGTCTTGATTGATACATACACTAGCACTTAGAGGCAAGTCCACCTTCGGACCCCTCTAAGAGCTTAATTTCTTTAGGAAAGAAAATGATACAATGGTAATATGTAGGGTATTTAAAGAAATATTTTTAAGTAGGGAGTCATTCAACTGGTCTTTAGAAGTCTGATCTGACATGGCTTAGGAAGGAACCTTTATTTCCTTAGCTTTTGGAGATGAGAGTATTAACAGACTACCTGATACCACATAGGGTAATTTGCTAAGGGAGCCAGGCTTAAAGGAACTGAGTGCCTCAGTTGCTCTACCTTTCCAGATTTCCTGGTGTCTAAAGCAAAATATTCCAAGTAGAGACAGTACAGACAATTGTGAACTCAATATAGCTAGATTCTTCATGAAACTTTTCAGCTGGGAATCATTCTTCAGTGATTCAGAATAAGCAATAGGATATGGTGGATCCTTCAGGTACTGTATGGCCAATCCAGCTATTTCTAACCAGCCCGTCCCTATCACATAGCTAGTATTCACCAGTAGAAAGCCTTAATGATGTCCTCTTCTCATAGGCCTTAATGATGTTGTCTTCTCATAGGTAAGATTGTGTAGTTCTTTATTTTGATAAGATTCTGAGTTATTAGTCAACAGTTTTACATGGTTGGGATGGCATTTGGGTACTTCGATGTAATATTCAGGCCTTAAGTATATTGCCATAAATAACTTTTGTTGTGATGCATGAAGAAGAAAGAGGAGAGAAAACCCAGAAGGAAAACAAACAGGCCAAAGGCTGCAGTAATATCTGGATGCCAGATGGCATCAGGTTAGCAAAGGGTCTGATTCAGTAAGAAGCAAAGGGAAATTCTTGCCATGCATGTGTGAATAGACCCCACAAGGATTTAGACACAGGAAGAAGGGCCAATGAGAGTCACCATGATGATCGTGTAGTATTAAATGTCTCGTTTATCTTGTTGAAATAGCATTTACATCTATTTAAACACATGTTTCCATTAGTTCATATCT